GAGGGGCCAGTCGGGTCTTTGCTGTCTGCTCCGTTATTAGCTCCCTCACTGGGATGGGTCTGGCTGTGGAGGGGGTGTGCAGCTGCAGCCGGGTAGAGACACGGCCAGTGACAACAGGAGGGGTCCAAGGAGGGATGTATGTAACTCCTTCTTCCTCCAGCTGTCTGAGGTAGTACTCGATTATTTCTTTACCCTACAGCACAGAGAGACAAGATGTTTAGATATTAACACAAGAAACTGACTGACTGTGAATGCATTTTTAAGGTCACTTTCCAAACATGTAAAATCCATCGTTCATTCAAAGTTTCAAACCTTTTTAATGCTGCTGGCGTACTGTTTCATGGCGATCTTCTCTGCTGTGCTCTCAAAGCCAAAGAAGGACTTAATATCCAGACTGGCTGTTTGTTCAAAGCACGTCCAGTCCTCATTTTCTGGATGAACCTGCAGAGAAGCACCGTAAATACAAAATATGAACAATCATCCGGACCAGATCTTTAGAGAGCGATGCATAATTAATATGATATCTCATTTTTAAACAGAATTCATCATTTGTAAAGACACTCCTACTGAATCAACTTTTTAAAAAAGGCTTTTGAATCAGATAGACGAGGATGGTTTTTACAACTGTGCCTCCTTTTTTTTTTTTTTACAAGGTGATGTAAAAGCGTAATGCAAAAAAAAACCAATAAAACAAACTCGACAACAAAGGTCTAAAACTCGGAGGCTCACCGTGTAGTTGCAGCACTCTCGACGATGACTCTGTTGGAGAAAGTCTCGTTTTGAACCTCGATGTGGAGCGTCCTGTCTCTGCGATTCAGGGTGTTCTTCTGGATGAAGTACAGGTAGTCCACGCCCGCAATCTACATGCAGAATAAGACAATTATTTGGTTTGCACAAAAAATATAAATAGCATGTGGATCATAAACATCTATCCAAAGACTGCTGCAAACCCCAAAGCTTTAAGGTTGCAACTCTCAGACAGTCCTGACAGAGATTCCCTTTTTTTGTTGTAAAGATAAAAAAAAAAACATGAAGACAAAACACTTTTCCACTGAAGAAGACTGCACAGTCCATCTTGTGCAAACGTTTTTTCCTCCAGTGCAACACAGATCCACTCACGCAATTCTTTTCATTTGAGAGATGTTGCCTTGAACTGTAGTTTTAAAGTTAAGTACAATTCTAAAAACCTAATTTAAAAAGTGATTCTTAGGATTGTTTTGAGACCTTTGCTCTGCATAAGGTCACTGGAGTTACCCTCTTTAGCAGCCGCGGGGCCTCGATGTCGATGACACAGCGCCTCTCAGTCACCAGCGTAGATCCATCTTTGCTTTGGCTCTCGTTGATGATCTCGCTGTCCACAAACACGGGGATCAGGGGGCACTTTGGGAACCTCCTCGTGTAGGCCTGAGAGTGGGGGGGATACCACAAGACAGAGACAATGTAAACAGAATAGAGGACGTAATTTAAAAAGTCATTTAATAAACACCTGTGAACCGACTCTTCATTGTGTTCACACATAGGCAGGTATTTTTAATTCTGTGTGTTTTGGCGTTTGGAACCCAAACTGCATTTGAGGTCACTTTAAACGCATCTTTTGGAAAACTTCTTCCAGGATGAAGATTTTTTTCAGAAACTCAGTTTTTAAGGTGTTTACGTGTAGACGGGGACAACTGAGTTTTGTTCTTACAACGTCACGCTGTGCGCCGCTTTCTCCTCCGTTTGATGTCACTGTGCGACGCTGTCACTTTTGTTTACACGAGATTAGAGCGATGGCAGAAGAACCAAACTAGCGCTGGTGCTAATGTTGCTAACTGGACTTTTACATGCTCACACAAACACACACAGTTACTCTCTCACTATGTTGACGAGCAGAGACGCCTGAATGGACGACTTTGTGATTTAAATGTTAATTTCCCAAATTTAAACCTGTAAACTCACTGCACCTTGTTTGGATAACTTCCTGTATTTTGTCACATTGCAGTTCATACTATATCACATGCCAGAGTTTTCCTACATCGTTCAGCCCTAGTTGGTTGCTTTGCATGTATTTTGCATAAATGCTGAATTCATGTGATGTTTGAAGCAGAGGCTGCTTCTACAATCACTGGTGATTGGTTTGTGTTTTATTGTCCACAGCAGCACACAGTCAGACCGTCTGTCCGGACTGATTCCTGCAAGGCTCACCTGTCAATATTGACCGAGCGTCTGTTTCAGGATATGCAGAAACAGACTGGACTATGTAACTAAGTAACTAAGTAACTAACTGCAGGGAAGGAACGGGAACATCACCGATTATTGTTTTAAAGCTCTGAGATAAAGTAAATGACACCACGAGGTAAGACGACCTGAGCTGGGTCATGACCTGCACAGAGTGAAAAGTTTATATACGACAACATGTTTCTTCTTCTCTGGCAGTTTTTATGCAGCAGAATTTTACTTGTTTTAAGTTTTCTATTCAGTTAATAACTTCATACACCTTGTTAATGAGATTATGTTGTTGTTTGGTCGTTACTCGTTGTTTGCTTGTCATTGTAGTTTTATGTAAATTTGTAAATGTTTGAACCAACAACCCGCCAAGGGACTACAAATGGAAATTAGACTATGGCTATAATCTGGCAAACTTACATGTTTAATTCCGAGTATTAGCCTTATTTCAAAAAGCTAGCAGTAGTCTTGTAGCAGACAAATGTATTTTTCTTACTTACTTGAACTTACTATATAATATATAGTTTCTTTTTCAAGACAACGGTCTTAGTCGTTGAGAAAACTTCTTCTTAAATTTCTACTTTTAGCGTCAGAATATCTGTGTTTTAATACAGGAGACATTATATGGTTATTTTCACTATTAATTCACTTTTTAAAAACTTTTCCTTCCCGTCTCTCAGAGCTGATATCATGTAGTGTGAAAGAGGAAAGTCAAGTTTGTAGAGCAAAAGCAAATATAAAAAAAAAACCACAGGCATTAAAAATAAAACAAAAAGTAAAGACTTTTCAGATCCAAGTTTACCCTCAGGCACTCTTCTTTACACACACACGCACACACACACACACACACACACACACACACACACACACACACACACACAACACACACACACACACACACACACACACACACACACACACACACACACACACACACACACACACACACACACACACACACACACACACACACACACACACACACACACACACACACACACACAGTCGATAAGATGGCATTACGCACTGAGCTAATTGATGAGAAAGGTTTTCTTGGTAAATAAGCAGCATTGACTGCAGTTGTGTAACACACAAACTCAATGTTGGCCTGATTGCAAACAAATCACAGCCTTTGTCCAACCCGCCTCAGCAGAGCTATGAGAAGAAACTCAATCAAAGCACAAAATATAAAAATGATAAGCACAAAGTGTTTCAGTAGAAAAGTCAATAAATATCCCCAGAAGACTTTTTTAACTTCTGTACAAACACTATCCAACTTCATATTTCACTTTAGCGAGCCATTAACAGGCCGGAGACTGTTTCTGCAGAGCAACAAGATAAAAGATTTATTTCCCGAGGCAGGATCAATTCAATGCCACTATGCAGGTGTGAAGCGCTTACAGAGAGCAGAGTGTATCCATTAAGGCTAAAAATCAAAACGCATATGGACAATTTAAATTGATGAGACAAAATAAGCGTTCTGCTTCTGGTTTTTATTTTGAGGTCAGTAGTCGAGGAGGAGAAGTGAGCACTGCAGAAGTGAGAGAAGATTTTGTTGTGTCTTATTTCAAAGAGGGGTCTGGAAGTGAGGGGAGCACCTGATGGACAAGACACAACAAAAAGTGTGAAAATGTAAGTCTGTCAAGACCACATTAACCGGGACCAAGACAAACCTGAGACCAGAGTGCTCCAAGACTTAAAACCGAGACCGAGACATTTAGGGATCGAGACAGAGATAAGACCAGGACCAGGACCAAGACCAAGACCAAGACCAAGACCAAGACCGAGACATTTAGGGATCGAGACAGAGAGAAGACTAAGACATTTAGGGATCAAGACCGAGACAAGACCAAGACATTTAGGGATCTAGACCGAGTCAAGACCAAGACATTTAGGGATCTAGACCGAGTCAAGACCAAGACATTTAGGGATCTAGACCGAGTCAAGACCGAGACCAAGACACGCACGCACCAACCACTGCGCCACCAGCGCCTCAATATAGATTCATTTGAACTAATATCATATTCAAGAATCATGACAACCCTTAAATCCACACGTAAAGAAATGTCTTTTTCCATAAAGTTGAAGGTTAGTCATAAAGCCACGTCGTCAAAGGGACAGAACTGATGTCTCTGTTTAAACATTTCACATCCAGGACACTGAACGGGGCTGTGAGCTGTCCTGGACTAAATCAGCGACACGAATGAGAAATTCTCAGATTAATGGAAGCTGGCCGGAGACGTCCTTTCACTGGATTCTCTCCTTTATCCTGCCGAGGCCCGGATCCTTTCACAGCAGCTGTTACTTTACACAAAAAGGTTTTTTCTATTATATGATCCTTTTCAATAAGGTGCAGCGATGCAGGAGGAGAGAGAGAGAGAGAGAGAGATGTTGTGAATGTTGTGTAGGTGTAGACTTGGACTGCTGGGTGAAGGAGTTACAGTCTGCAGAGCAAAGTGTGAGCGCCTGCAGCATCGCGGTCTTTACCCCACGCTGAGGATATTGCATAAGTCGTTTGGCTTAATATGTAACTGCAGAGAACAATAAACAGACTGCAGGAGTGTGTGTGTGTGTGTGTGGGGGGGGGGGGGGGGGACTGCCGGCTTCTCATGAAAATGCACATTTATATAACTTGTGTCCTACTTTGGCTTCACACATGAACTCAAAGTAACGGGTTTCAGTTTGCAGGCAAAGTGGAAAAATATATAAGATAAGGGGTAATGTTCAATTCAAGGGCGAGCAGGTTTATCTTAAAGGGGAATATGTGTTGGGAAAATATTGGATTTCTTCTTCCTTTTCGGTGGATTTCCTTTGAGGGACTGTTGAAGCGCACGGCACTTAAATGTAAATATTTTGACAGTTAAATGATGAAAGTAGAACTCAAGGAACATTACATAACCAAGAACTTTGTCAAACTGCAGCAACCACACAAAACAACTCTTCTTCTTCTTATAACATCTGAGCGACCTCTAACCTCTTGACTTCTTGTGACCATCGCTTCATAACGACATTAATTAAAAAACTTGCAACAGCAGAGTAACACACAAGCTTTACGGGGTTACAGCCTTGAGCTGAGCTTTGAATATGGAAAGAAAAGACGTCTGAAAGAAATGCAAAGGTTAACAAGAATATCTCGCTGAGCGCGTACCACCGTGAAGATTACTGTATTTACCACCGCATCAGGAGAGAAAAACAGAAAGGAGACAGTATTTTTTGTGAAAAGCATTTATCCCGGGTAAGAGAACATCCAGAGCGAGACAGATGTCCCTAGGAGGTAGACAACGTTTCAGACGGTTTGCAGGTGTCTGAAAGGTGTCTAGTCTGCCATAACCATGAGTGGAGGCAATTAAAGTTTGCATATGTTTTTGCAATTACTGTACATAGCACAGAATTACTGTACATAGCACAGACTCTTGCACTTTCTGCTTATTTGCACTTCTGGTGAGATGCCAAACCTCATTTCGTTACTCTATACTTGTATATGTGTAATGACAATAAAGTTGAATCTCATCTCATCTCATCTCATATATTTTATTCCTATGTCA